CGCTGTGGCTAAAATAGTAAAAAAATTGCGACAGTACGTCTGCCGTAAATCATCCATAATTTAGGCACCCATGTATATCAATAGTGATGGTTATAATCCCCTCACCAGGTTTAATATATGTGTAACATTAACGGTCTCTGCTGTTTTATCAAATCTTAATTTGACGGATCCTGTTCATTTCACCGAAAATCAATTCACCGACAAGTTTTTTTATAAATTACACTAACCTTAACTCTAATTCTGGCCTGACCCTAATGACAATGACCAGAATTACTTTGTCGGTGAAATGACAGTCGGTGAATCGTACTGTCTGTCGGTGAACTGATTGTCGGTGAAATGAATAGAACCGAATTCGACAATATAAATCTTAAACCTGAATATTTCCGGATTATATTTATATTCAAAACTTTTAGAAATAACATCTATATTAGAAACATGGATTTATCCTCTAAAACTTCTACTCGAAACATAATCGGAATGGTTTTCATCTATCTGGAACAAAATCTGAATGCATCTGTTAACAATTTTTGATAGGATTTAAAGAATGAATGTGTAAAACAAATATTTGAAAAGTATATTTCTTAAAAAGTAATTACCAAATATGAACCAAGCACTTAGCAAGTCCTTTTATCTTTATATGGTGCCCTCAGCTTTAAATCTCAATAAAAAAAATAGCCTTACCAAAAATGCTGCTACTATTTTAAAAAAATTATAATATGTATCGGAACGACCGGACAAATTTTTCTATTTATTTTTAGAACACGCTCGTATTTTGAGTTAAACGATAGTCTGTTTCCAATTTATGGTATTCCGTTAATATCATAACAGATAATTAAAAGTTGATCAAAATCACGTGACTGAAGAGTTAAAGCCGAGGACACCGTATATATTATAATTTTATCATTTTTAGCAATGTACCATGTAAATTGATAACGTCTTTTGTTATTTTTTCAACGTCCAAACGTTACAATACCAAAGGTTTGTGTGCGATTACCTGGATAAACTGTTCAATGATACAATGAAGTGATAGTCTCATGTAAGGCATCAAAGACATCCTGAAATTTTTCTCTGTCCCTTTTTTTTTTTTCTATTCGTTTTCTTTACGTATATTTATCATTCTAATTTTACTATCTATATATTAATATATATTATATAATTTATATTTATATTTATTTTTTTCTAAAAGATTACACGCATGTAAGTCCGGTCACTATGCAAACAAGGAATCATATAAGTATTAATTACACACTATATCATATATGGGCTTAGTGCTGAGAAAATGGTCAGATTTTTATATTATGAGTTTTATAATAAATTATAAGAAACTAAAAACTTTAAAGAATTATACTGCAAAATTTTATTAAGATAACCGCATTTTGTTCTTAAGTAAAAAAATGTTTTTAGGCTAATTTTAAATTAATTAAGATCAAAATATTTGTTTAAAAAATTGTCAAATTTGTCCCTTTTCTCAGCATCAAGCCCATATTTAAAAAAAAACCCTCTTTCGGATACATATATATATCTCCCGTTCACATACTTTTCTTTCGCCTTCATGTTTGCGAATGTGAATTGGTTTTAATGTTCTCAATCTATTGTCGTATTAACAAAAAAAAAAAAAACTATTGAATAACGAGTGTATTCAGTAAATTAGTAAAAATTTTAATCATCCATTTGATTATGGAGAGAGAGGCAAGAATTAGTAAAAAAATGTCTAATAAAAATAGAATAATTCTTCCTAAATAACAATACAACACAATTGATAATATAACTGGATCAAAACTCGTGATAGGTTAAAGTTTAAACTTAAAACGAAAATGGAACCTTATCAGCATAAATTTAAAGCTAATGGAACATTTGAGATAAAAAAAAATTGAGAATTAGGAGAAAACATCCAAATGAAATACGCTCTAATCTTGAACAAGAAGAAAGCACAGTAGATTCATCTTCTCAACTTTTGAACACGGCTACTTTATCTAATTTTTCAGCAATCACAAAAGAAAAAACTGATTCACCATTTGCAGAAGATTCTCAAGAATTTGAAACTGCCGAACCAATATTTGACCAAAATTTAGAGGTATATTATAGCAACGACTTTGTTATTCCATTTCGAGATAATTGTTTTGAGTTACTACTACCACAAAGCTTATATATGTATGATTTATCGAATTTTTTATTACAGTCGATACTGTCTGATTGCATATACTCTCTAAATGCATATAAAATTCTGGTTTTTAATTATTATCGCGGCTGATGCCGAAACCTAAGGCCTCGATTTGAAATATAAGCCCTGCCAGAATCCACATATACTCTTTAATTATCAATTCTATCCTAAATTCTAACCCAACCCTAAAAAAAAAGTGGGAAAAAACACCCTCAAAAAATTATAAAAATTCATAACAAAATAGGTCCAAATTTCAGCATCAGCCGCGACAATATTAACACAAAAATGGTTCTTATAATTTAAATGCATATACTGTCTATATGCATAAAAAAGTCTCTAACGGATGGTACGCAATTAGACAGTATCGACTGTATTTTGATTCGAATTACATTTATTATTACATTCTTGACACGTACACATTCGTACCTGTATCTAAACTTAGTACAAAACACCAGTTTTCCTTCTCCTTAAGTGTATCCTGGTATTCATTATTTATTTTTATTCTCACATATATATATTTATTGACGTCTTCACATTCATAATACTTATTTTACAATATTGCAAAAGAACTAAGTTATGAAGGCTGTCAGCAGCTTATGCCGTTAGAAAAT